CCCTATACTTCAACTGAGTACATCCGTTGTAATTCTCCCAACTCCCGAATGAATCAGTGATTAGAGCTCTTGGTTACCTAAGCATCAGCTTAGGCTTAATGGAGGGACCAACAGGAATGTCTTTATTGAAGGCAAGATACACAGTATTTATGCCCAGACCCCCACAGGGGGATTCTGTAACGGAACTCCCCGTACTCCGACCGAGTACCTTCCGTTGATGGACGCTTCCTAGCTTGTGCCGAGGACCACAAACACCGCACTGGACACCACAACCACCGCAGACTCCACAGCCGCTGTAGCTTAACTGGAGTCTCGCCTTCCACCCTGGATCAGCCTCTGTCCTCCAGGACCGTGTGGGAAAGACCTCTCCTCCAGGAGAGCGTATCAGGAACAGCTCTTACAATAGCTAAGTGATTAAAGCTCAGGGGAGTATACAAGTATATCAATCCCCAGTGTGAATATAGCTGTCCCGTCCAATCACGGGACAAGACTATGTGTTGAGGGTCAAGAAGATCTCTTTTAATCAGCCACAAAGGGCCTTCTTTTAAGCAGGTTTTACACAAACAGTACCGCCTACAGGGTTTTGTAAAACAAACAATAAAACACGTAATATACAGTAAAACACTCCCATTCATTCCCACAAAATACTCAGCTCTGCCTGTGATATAATTACTGTACACAATGGGTTAATGTAATTATCACAGGCAGGAAAAAAATACTTTTTACACATGTACTGTAACTTTAAAACTCCAATCTCCATAGAAATCACATATTCTTACTTAGCATACTTCAAATATGAACACTCTCAAAAATCATACAAATCCCTCCAGTAGATAAAAAGTTAGTCGGAAGTCCTGACAGCATTCGACTAACAAAGATGGCCGCCACCACGTGATCATTTGTACGAACCGCGGCCAGCCTGAGAGGTAAATTAGCCGCACGTAACATAAGACATAAGCCCGCCCGGGCGTTGCTGTGTCTGGGAGATAATAGTATCTCCCAGACACAGGAAGCCGAACACACAAAAATACAATAATGCATCCCCACATATCATACATCCCTGAGTAGCTCCCGGTCCCAGCTATGATCCCTGCAAATAGTAGAACGATTGCATGTACAGAGCCCGAGAAATCGTTGTGTAAAGTCTGAGCTTGAGGTTCTGTAAATACCGGAAAATAGTTCCACAGGATCACTTGGTTTAGGCCGGTGGATTCAACTTTCACTCCTAAACCAAGCAGCGACCAATAGGGAGAAAGGGACCATATAGCCTTTCGGGACACTGCATGTTTAGTAACTGTCGACCTTGTAATGGTGTTTTAACAAATGCGCCCACGAAAACCTGAAAAAATTTTAATGAAAAACACGTATTGAATAAAGATGATATCTTTTGTGTGAGGATCGCGTCTCTCACCTTTTAATATAAAACTTTTCTTATAAAGCATTACATGCACCTAGTTGTTGTTTGATCTATTTATAAAGTGACACATTTCGTTTGATGCGCTGTACAATGTGACAGTAAAAGCAGAGGAGCCCCAGACGTGTAGCTGGGTATTTTGGGAACTGTTCACACATCACATTATTCTCCTGGAACTGACGCTCCAGAGATCGCTCTGGAAACATAAAACGGAATATTTGGTGTTTTGCTAAAAAGCCGCACATCAACCAACACGTCTGTTTATACAGGCGGTAATTGCAAAAGCTGTAAATTGTGCAGTGACCCCTGAGCTATCTGCTCTGGATTTCTGAGAAAAGTTTAAAATATATAGAGATATTATCATTATATCTGCGTAAATAACCTATAAAGTATATCCAATCATAGCTCCCAACATTGCACACTGACAAAAGGGGACCCTTTAATTTTAGGGTGTGAGTAGGGTCTGGCCAGGGACGGGGCTGTCTGTGTGGGAGGCTGTGGCTAAGGCAGGGCTGTTCTGTGGGGGTGTGGGCA